TGGAATTTGCAAATAAATAATAAAAGGAAGTATTTTTCTGTGCTGCGTGTGTTAACCCTAATCGCCATGGGTTGTCGTGTCACGCTACAACCTCGGGCGGAAATGATATCTGCCTTTAATTTTGTTAAGTTTTATTTAGGTGTCTTCTACTTTACATACGCTGCGATTATTTTACCGTGCATTAATATAGATTGTTTCCTATCAAATGCTGTCTTCAAACGCACAATTGTGAACTCGAATCCATTTTTGAAAATTATTAGAATGAAAGGACCAAATTTCTGGCCTCAAGCAGAGCCATCTCCCTGATCTTCGTGTACGACAACTCCGACCGCTCAAACTTGTGTCTATGTTACCCATGGGGAGGAGACTGTAAGTCATTCACGTTTGCGTGTGCCTGAGATATCGCTGATGCATGTGCTGCTTCAACACTGGTGCACCTGCATCCTCATCGCTAGTTTCTATCAAAGTTTCTTTGTTCCTATAGTGTTTTATCTCATTGTCTGTGACTTCGTTGCCCGCCATTGAAAGAAGTGCATGAAATGAAACGCATTAGCAGAGCGGGAAGCTCAAGTACCTCCCTGAAGTTCCAGCTAAAATATTATTGATCCAACACCAAGAATAGATATCAGTTGAAGAGTATCTCGACAGACAAGGCTGTGAGATTCGTGGTTATTTTTTACGGTGGTTATTTGAAACTAAGGGCGTTTCCCCGCTAACCCTACGCAATTGGCGTTAAACTGTTTCTGCAGTCTCTTGTTTCCTGCCTTCTGATTGGTTCTCCAATCACGTGACCGTCGATCATGCGATTGGAGAACCAATCACGTGAGCTCGGTCACCGGGCTCAGTTGCATTCAAAACTATTTGATGTGCAGTGGCAGCGTTCCATCTTAAGCGTGCAATTTCTACATCGCCATGCGTGGAAAGTGTAGATTTCATGACATGTGGTTAAAAATAGAAGCTTATCGTGACTGGCTTGCTCGCCATCCCAAGCATGAAGGTATGGCGATATGTACATTGTGCTCGAAAGACTTCGATGTGTCTAATATGGGGGAATCAGCTTTGAAAAGCCATGCCAAAGGCAGCACACACCAAGTTAGCTAAGCAACACAGTGAAGTGAAAAGCAAAGCGCAGTTACGCGTTTCTGATTTGTGGTCTGCTGACAGCAATGCAACTGCAGTTTCTTGCTCCAAAAGTGTATCAGGGAATAGTCCATCGCAAAAGTCAGCACGCATCAGCACTGCAGTGTCTACTGCCACTGTGAATGTAGAGACGGAGACCTGGCCTTGTATCCACTGCCAAAGCCAACCCCAATGCCGAACTAACCAGATTTGTAACAAAAGATGTTCTGACGTTTGAAATTTGGTGGGCATTGGTGTTCTGACGTCTGAAATTTGGTGGGCATTTCCAGATTTGTGTCATTTTTGATCCTCTGTGTCTGCCCGCTCTATGCATTTACACGTTTGCTTGTTATCAACTTTAGGATATGATAGAATATGCACGGTTACTTTTTCAAGCCATGCTAAATCTGTTGTATACGACTCCTGGAAAATTATACTGATGATCACGGAGAGTCCTGGAAAAGTCCTGTAATTTTTTTTCTCAATATCGGTACGCACCCTGGGTTCTATACTTGGATATTGAAGGAGCATTTGACAGTGTCTGGCATGAAGGATTGCTTTTTAAATTGCAACGCATTGGAGTTGGTGAACAGATGTTGTCTTGGTTGTACAACTATCTTCAAAATCGGACTGTTCAAGTACAGGTCGGAGTTTCTAAATTGTTGTGCCAGCCAGTGAGAGTAGGACTTCCACAAGGTGTTGTACTCTCCCCTACCCTCTTTAATGTGATGCTTCATGACCTTCCACACTCTCCACATGTGACACTGGTGGGGTACGTGGATGACAACACCTTTGTTAATTGTTCTTCCTTGGCTGAGGCTAGGCATCATATGCAGCGGTGTCTTGATGAGATAAGTGAGTGGTGCACTCGCTGGCAGTTTCGGCTTAACCCAGCAAAGTGCTCGTATCAGGTATATATACACATCACACCGGACAGCCCCTGCTACCACACTTAAAGTCTGTAACAGGAATATTCAGTATGTGGCCAGCCAAAAGGTGTTGGGATTTCATTTTGACTCTCCATGCCTTACATTTCGGGAACACATCAGGTTAACATGCACTGCTTGTCTGAAACGAATGCAGGTTCTTCGTGCACTTGGCTCAGTGAAGTGGGGTGCCTCTTGGCGATTGTTGCGCAGAATATATGTGGCCTTTATAAGGAGCAAGATGAAGTATGGCTCAACCTTTATAAGGAGCAAGATGGAGTATGGCTTCTAAAGTTTTGTTGAAACAACTTGAAACTGTTCAAAACTCTGCCCTCAGATACATCCAAGGAGCTCGTTGTACAACACCAATAGTGTCTCTGCAAGTTGAGAGCTTCATTGCACCTTTGAAACTGCAATTCTCATATCTGTTCATTAAATGGGTCATAAGGTATTTGTACATGCCTGAAGGTGACCAAGTGCCAACCATGCTGGGTTTCACTGACCAGGGACTTCATCGTGACACACCATTTGTCAGCAGACCTCGTGACAGCTTTCGCAAGCTGGGCCTTTCACTCCCTCGGCAATCTGCGACTCCCCTGATAAGTCTAATCCCTCCTCAAGTGGATCTTGCTGCAAACATTCTTCTCAACTTGCAAGACAACCCCTTAATTAATATGTCTCATCATCTTATTCAGAATTGCTTTAGTGACTTTCTCCTTGGACACTATCCAAGACATATCCAAATTTATACTGATGGCTCAAAGTCTCAAGATGGGTCTGTTACAGCTGGACTTATTGTTCCTTCAACCCAGCTGGCAACTGGTTGGTTGCTCCGGCAGGAGCACACGGTTCTTGGTGCAGAGCTGTTTGCTTTACACAAGGCCATGCAACTTGCCACCGAGGATGGGTCTCTAAGAGAGGAGTCAATCCTAATTCTGACAGATTCAAGGTCTGCTCTGCAGCTTTTATCCAACTCATCTGGACACTCACAACGTCACACTGCACAATTATCTTTGAGATACAGAAGCTGATGCTGGTGAAGGGACTTGACAGGGTGGTGTTTTGCTGGATCAGAGGCCACAGTGGTGTTTGTGGAAATGAGGTCGCAGACAGAGTAGCAAATTTGGCACATTCTAACAACCGCTCAGCAAGATCTCAGCTGTGTTTTGAGGAGTGGATCTGTTCCATGAAGTCTCACGGTACAAGAATGGACATGCCAATGGGCAGCTGACGTGCTAGAAATAGGCAAGGGGACCTTTCGAAGAAGTTTGGGATCTGAAATAGCCTTTGTTGTTTATGGAGTGCTGCCAGGCTCTGTTGAGTGCGCTGTGTCACGCCTGCGCCTGGGACATGCTGGTGTCTGCGCCCATTTGGCAAGATTCAACCTGGCCAATTCAAGTAACTGTTCAGTATGTAATGTGGAGGACACAATTGAGCATTTCATTCAGCACTGCACACAAATTTCCAATCAACGAAGGGAATTCCACTCAAGACTGGAAGGCCTCTCAGTGTGAGGCTTTCACTGCAATGGGATCTTTTCTCAGCTCTCGGCAGTGGGGACGCCCCAACAAGGAGACACACTGCTGCCATCCGTCATTTGGGTCAATATTTGCTAAGCTGCAATATGGTGATCAGGCTATAAAGTTCATCAAAGCCTAATTAATCCATCTCTTTCTCTCTTTACAATTTGCTGCCACACTGGCTGGTGGAAGTGCTAAAATTAAATAAAAACTGAAGTGGAACCAACACGTGAAGTGGAGTGATCAAAATCCCAGTTGTGCTCAGGCTGGGAGGTGTGCTACCAGCATACCCGAAGCCTTCAGATCAAATTAAAAAAAAGTCTCAAATCACAAAAAATTGAAGAAAATTTTTTTTTAATTATGATAAGCTTTCTGACACCAAAGCTTCCAACCAAGTGGCTTCTAAGATTCAAATAAATCCTCCAAATGACAAGATTTTTTTCACGTTTACAAAGAACTGACCTTCCATCCAAGGCCCTGACAGCATCATCAGCATCTCTTGGGTCCTCAAACTCGACAAAAGCAAAGCCAGGAGGGTTGCGGGCCACCCATACATTTGTCAGTCGTCCATAATATGAGAAAGCATCCTCAAGATGCTGCCGGGATGCCATGGAGCCAAGATCTCCAACATAAACCTTGCAGTCCGTGGGACCAGGCATCTGCAAATGAACAGCCCTTTAAAATTAATTGAACACATGGCCCTAAAAACTGTTGGTTTTCATCACTCAACTCTTGGATGAAGTATATGTATATAACATTTACACTATGTAGATCATGATAGTGAAGTCAAATTGATAACACAAATACTGCATTGATGATGCTGGCATTAACGATACTTTGCAGGTGAACAAATAGAACTTGAAAACAGAAGGGTAGACTCTGCTTTGCCACCATTGACTGGTAATAGCAGTGAATACATTCTGCAACTTAACCCTCCTTTAGGCTCCAGGTCAAGATGACCCCATTTGCAACCCTATGACAAGAGGGGGGCATAGTGCATATACATGTCAGAGATGAAGACAAATGGAGGGGTTAAAATAAATTAATAGATAATTCAAACTGCTATTAAATTATTTTAGAAATTACAAAGCCAATTGATAGTATAATACAGGCAGAATGGAATGCTGGAAAGCCACTAGAAATATTCAAGATTGATCCAAATCCATTTGCTTTGTAGCTTGTGTCTTGCTCAGCTTCTGATTATCACCAAAGTTATCCAAGATTTGTTTACTATTTTCCAATATAATGCATGTGTACTATATATACAGTTCCTATTCAGGAAAATTGGGCAGAAGCCCTCCATGAATGAGAGAATACCACCCATGTTTGTGGTTAATTTCACCAATTTTTATGGAACTTGCCCAATTACTTTCATTAAGAATAGAAATGCCACACTTTTGGCCATCAAAATTTCTGAAAATCACAAGTTGAAGGATGATTTCTACCTACAATTTCAGAACATTCTGTCAAACATTCCAGATTGGTACAATCTTGGTGGGCTGTTAAAATTAGTTTTTGCAACAAATAGTGCAACAGCATCACTTTTATTCCTGCACAGTTTTCAGCACCGGAGGAAACAATCATTCACTTGCTAAACGAATGAATGATCCACAGTTTTCATGTCAGCACAAGTAAACAGCCTAAGCCTGGTGGGTTAATCCCTGGCTGCTACAATCTGTACATACTGAGTTAAATTTTACTCTAATTGGATGCAGAAATCAATAGTTTTAAATTCATCTTCAGAAGCCTGTATGAAACTAAATTTTTGCTCTCTGCCCCAGCCCAAGTGGCAAGTGCCCATGAATCCATGATTGCATATTAGCATTGGCAGTTTGGCTCATTTGGCTGCTTGGGGGCCATGTCTGCATAGAGCCTACTTCCTGACTTCCAGTTTCAATTTCTTTTAATACTCTATCACCAGAATCCAGAACCAAACATAATTGTTAAATTTTATTTTTTTATATTCATAATTTTATTTGCCATATTTTTTGTCAATTTTCTGACTTCATGTCTGCATAGAGAAAAATTAGAAAATTAGAAACCAAAATATTAAAAATAATTTTTGTTATTACTCAACAATCAACAATTCAACATAGGTGGGCTACTAGGGCCTAGGCTGGGCTTTAGTGTTAAACCACATATTTTTAGAATCAGTTAGCTAATTTTTAATTTCCTCATTTAGGTACTGAAGATGTAAACCAATATATTCTTCAATATATTCAGTGAACAGTGCATGTGAATGAAAGGAAGTTGTGTTGTGTCAGCCACATCAGTGTAGACTGACTAGGGAGCAAATGGAGAAATGAGTGAGAGTTATCCAAATAGCAATGCACTTGCTGCCATCATTAATCAATTTTTTTTTTTTTTGCAGTCAGGGCAAAAAATTGCACTATTCTCATTCAAAATTAAAAGAATTTTTAAGGAGACATAGAATTTAGAAAATTTTATGAGTTGGAGTTGCAACTTACCTTGCTGCTTGTAGAATTAAGCCCTACTGGTGCCAGTGAGTTTTCAGCTAAAGCATTTAAAATTATAAATTATCTTTAGTCTCTTATATTGTCATCTGCGATAATCTCCTTGCATCTGTTATGGCCATTTACTGGCATTTTGTCTGTATTTATAAGAACAACTTAACCTGCTAATGTGTTTTTTGGTTACCTTGTTCAAAAAGAAGATTTATTTCAGAATCCCCTGGTTGAATAAATAAAATAACTTTGGTCCAATCAAGATTTTGTTTGACAATGAAATTACCTTGCATGGTTGGTAAATGTGGTAGAGTTTGATATCATTCTCATTATTTTTTGCATATGTAATGATTTTTTATTCATTGCAGTTGAAGATGTGAGCAAGCGCAGCAAGAAACGGAAGCACAAGCATTCTAAGGAACGTGGGGGGAAGAAAGAAGATTGTTCTTCCGTATTGAATGCTTGCATGGAAATCCCTCTGGTCATGCACTCTTCAATGCTCTCCACTGATGAATCTTCATCATATGTGTAAGCATTAAGTATAATTACCATTGAGCTGCCGTAAAATATATATTATATGACTTATTATATACATATTACCCTGTGTTTTCAGCTGTGCTTCAGCAGAATAGGGTTTATAAATTTTTTTTCTAATTGTTTGCCTAAATATTTTTGGATTTTTTCCATCAAATTTGATTTTTTTTGCCTGTTATCTAGCATTTACATATTACTAGAAATTTTGAAATGCATACCGGTAGCTTGCTGATTTAGGCAATATTTTCATTTTTTGAATCATTTATGGATTTCAATTTGTAACTGTTGATCTGATCCAAGTCTTGTTGAACATGAAAATAACATGGTATCACTATTAAGAATTATGGTCAAGCATCAACAAGAATATCTCCTTTGCTATGCAACCTAAAATATATTTACATGTAATACTATGAATGACTTTTGTGTTTATATGTGCATGGATCTTTGACATTTATTAAAAAATCAAGCAGTATTTTGACGATGCAAATTGTAAACTTGGCTCAGTGTTGCCTTGTCTTGAGAATTTGAATTCATTGCAATTTAGTTACAATTCATAGTATAAAATTTATCCTAATGGACTATTAAAATTGAAAGCAAACAAAAGAAGATGTGTCACTAACATTGAATCAAACTTTTTACTTCTGCCTAGATGGCTCCTGCATGAGTTATGTTTCAGGTCTTTGATAAATAGCTAACATTTTCACCTTCCTGGCTCCAAAAGACTAATTTCTTTTGATACCATTAACTGCTATGTGTGTGGCAAGCCATTATGATAGCAGTTTGTGGAAGTCTGGTCTATATCTTCCAGCCATACTAAAGAAAACATTGTATCTCGAGAGAACATATTGTAAAGAGTTATTGTGAAATTATCATTTATTTAACCAGTACTAGTAGGTATGTTCTGTTGGCTGGTTGATATAACTTTTTTTTGGCTTTGTTGCTATGCTTATCAACAAAATCGTTTGCATTTCATGTTTTTCTTATGTTTGTTAGGATGTTAATGGATGTTTTTTCAAAGCTTCAGCCCTGTGGGGATGGAGCAGCCATCTCGAAAGAAAAAGAGCAAGAAAAAAGATAAAAATAAAGATAAATCAATTTCCAAAGCAAGCAAGAAAGAGAAAAAAAGTTCAAAGCGCTCTTTTGATGAGGAAGATGAGTTACTAGCAGCCAATATGGATGCTGATGAATCACGAACTGAAAAGAAGAAGACCTCAAACGTTGATAATAATGATGAATCTGATAGTGAAGAGGAGCGATGGCTCACTGCCATTGAAGCAGGCAAACTTGATGAGGTGAGAGCTTTGTTTCACCATTGCTATCAAATTCCAAAACTTCTTTTCCTAATTTTCATGAAAATTTTGATGCAATTTCTTGTGCAAAAAGTTTCTTCATCAATCCCTTTTTTTCCTTAAATTTGATACCATTAAGATTTTGGTTCCATTCATGTGGATAATGATTCCATATATTTCAAGATGTTTATTTTTAGTTTCTCTGATGCAGTTCACTTAAAACTCTTTGATATTCTTTTCAGATATAACATTATCAATACCTGTATTACATGTATTATCATTCACTTCAGCTGTGTTGGCTTCCTGGTATCCAGATAATATATGATACTGGGTTCAGTTTATCACTTGATTCAGTGTTTATTATTTTTGCAAATATGTGTTTTATTCCATAAGTATTTTATTCGATTGATCATACTTGATAAGTTGTTTGAATTCTATCCCTCCTCATCATATTTTCATGCAATTTTGTGGCTATGAAAATTATTTATTGCCTAAAGATAGTGTATTGTCATTTGATTTTCCTCAGTTGCAATACCATAACTCAGTATTGGATTAGGTAGTTCTTGGTATCCTGATGCTATATACTCTGCAAGTGAATAATTAATTCTGGTAGTTCTAGTAATGAATTACCCAGTGAAGTATTGACTACAGCAATCCCTTGATTAGCACGGTTTTGAATACCGCGGTTTTGATTAACGCGGAAAAAAAATTTGCGACCTACCCTTAATCTACGCGGTGCCAGTTTTGATTAGCGCGACTTTTTTTTCACAACGCATCATTTTCCCGCCTCTAGCCAGAGGTGTTACGTTCGTAACAAAAGTGTTACTTTTTGCTTATTAGATCTTATGT